GCATCAGCCGGGGACGGCCGCCGGCCGGTTCTCCTCGGCCTCTGTCTTGTGCAAGACGAGTCGCCCTGTGATCTTTTAGTCACGCCGTTTCTCAGAAGCTCTTGCTGCTTTTGGAAAAGGCTGTTCGGGGTGCAACTTCCCCCCGAGGCTGAAACGGGATGGCACAAGCCATAAAGCACAAGAGCGGGTTAAACGATGAGGCTCTTGCACGATCTGCTAGCTCGAGTAAGGTCGGTGACCGTCGCTTCGCAGGACAGCACCGCAGGTGTTGTTAGCCAGGTCCTTGGGTGCGATTATAGCAGCGTCTAGCAAAAATCTGCTGACGTTTCTATCGTAAAGCCAATTTTTCGAGGGGCCTCTACACTGAGAAACTCTTTTTTCCCGCAGAAATATCAGCGCCAGTAACTGGGGCGCGATGTTGGATGCTGCAATGGAGACCTCGCTGTTACGTTCATGGCCCGAGGTGCTGGCACGGGGCTGATGCTAGGCGGGGGTGCTGGAGAGAATTAATTTTAATTTCAATATACACCGTTTTCCCCCCCTCCCCCCCCCCATAACTTAATGGGAGGAGAGGGAGGGATGCGGGTCTCCCCGGGTCACAACTCGAAAACGCTGGCCGCGACCGGAGCCTCGCTCCGTGGTCCAGCGAGCGCCTCCTGCAGCAGAGCCCGTCCGCAGCTCCACGCGCCAAGGAGAGATCTGAATCGCTCAGACGTGCAAAACCCAGGAAAGCCCCAAACGCTCCAATTTGCTGCCTGACAAGGTAGCAAAAAAATACGTAGCGTGGGAACCGTGGTGCTCGCCATCCCATGGGGACGGCAGGGGACGGCCAGGCGTGGTCTCACGGTGGGCAACGGACCTCAGGAGCCCATCAGCCTCCTGCGGCTGAGAAGCAAACGCGGAGCGGAGATCAGCAGGGAAACCCCTTGGAGGATGGCGTGGTACCGCGCAGGACCCCAGCCGCTCTGCAGAAGTGCTGGATATGCCTGCAGCCAGAAATGCCTCTAAATGAGCCCATGCATCTGTAATGTTAATTTTTAAACCTTGGGGATCGCAACACTTTGAGCAGAGTCACCGTACGTTCATGCAGGAACCTTAGCAAGGCTGTAGGAATTCAGTTTGAAGTAGGTTTGCAAGAAACCAACTTTATTGTGCTAATTCTGGTGTGTGGTTTAAGCAGTAGCTGCTAATGCTTTTTCCTGGGATGTTATATGCAAGCAACTTAATCCATGGGGGAAGGCCACCTTGCTAAAAACTCCCAGTTTTGAGCAAAGTGCACGGAAGTCAGGACTCCTGGTCGCACCCAGGAGCTGCGGAGCCGTGTCCCGCTTGCGAGCGTGGTTCTCGCGACGCGGCCGGGCGGCCTTCCCGCGGCGCGGTCCTGCGCCGTTGCCTGCGCCACGTCCTGGCACCCCAGCGTCGTCGGGAAAGAGAGATCTGGTCCCGCGTCTGCCACGGGCCTCAGCTGGCTGCCTTCTGCCTCGCTTCCCTGGCAGCCCGAAGCGAAGCTGTGCTTGGTTTCTGCTGCGACCCCGAAGGTGTTTCCCTCCCGACAGACTGCCCCAAGCCTTGTCCTGCTGCTTGCAAATCAGCTGGGGGAGAAAATTGGTGCAAAAGGCAGGAGAGAGGATGCTGCAGGGCTGTTGTGCCTGGGATCCGGCTCGACCCCGGAGCCAGCAGCCGTGCTGGGACGCTCTCGCTGCAGCTGGGAGGGATTTGGCCTTTCGTGGTGGGCTCAGAAAAGGCTATGCAAAAGGGGGCAGGCACCTGCTGACTGGTTGCATAGCTGTTGCTAAAAGTGCGACCTGGAGCCTGATGCCCTGACCCAAACCTGGAGTCAGGAACGTATCTGAGCACGAGCTTGCGTGCTGCTCGGCCCGGGAGCCGCCTCTAGCTCTGGTCCCGGCCGGCTCGCGAGCGAGTCTCCAGCCAGAAGGGTCAGCGCCCTGACATGCCGTTTGGCTCAGCTCCCCGTAAGACTCTCGATACAATTTTGGGGAGTCTTTAACAGCCTGATTACAGGATGCAAATTCCTGCGGGCTAAAAGCCTCCTGACAAGTGCGTCGTACTATTTAATTCCAAGCTCAAAGCTGTCTAGAAATCAGCCGTGCAGCTTCGAGGAGGGGAAGGGGGGAGACGCTTTGCCAGCACAGGACAAGCTGTGAAAAGAATCGAGTATACCGTTCCTAATGACATGTACTTAGCAGGATGTAATTGCAGCAAATAACTGTTCTTAAAATTGGCAGTCGCGCAGGGGCTGCGCTACCTCCTTTTCAGAGCCGGTAGCTCGCTCAAATGTAGTTAAAATTGCCCTCATCTTGCAAATGGGCAAGTCTCAATGGATTTGCCCTGGACGGGAGATAGGGCAGACAGTAATCAAGCGCTGGGCTCCTCTTTCTTGTGATCTCTGTCGCAGGGCGCTTTCTGGCTCCCGCTCTCCGGAGTAACTTCTCTCCGTACGCGACCTCTTGCTGCACCCTGCCTTTCTTCCTTTGCTTCCTGTAATGACGCAGAGCTGCTGGGTGCTCGGAGTCGTGTGGTCACAAGGCCCAAGGCATCCCAAAAGTTTTAGCAGCTACCTGGTGTTACGTGGCAGTTCTCCCTGCGGCCGTGCAGCTCCAGGAGAAAGCGGGCTTGTGGGAGTCCTTCACGTCTTTCCAAGGGAGATAAGCTAAGTTTAAGCAACCCTTCTAACCCTGCTCTTCCTCCAGTGTAAGAGCGTTTCCATCTGCTTTAAAACGGTCTTGTGGCAAAGGGGTTGGGGAGGTCTTCTGCCTTGGAGGAGCTTTTTTCCATGCAAGAAGTATTGGGAGTTCATCCCTACCCCCGGCACTGCTGCCCACAGCTCCCTGGGAAGAAGGCATGGTGAGGACATGTCCCCAGGTAGAGGGGGTGGTTTTTGGGGAGCAGTGGAGTCTTGATGCAGTTGTCTTAGGTTGGATATTGGGCTTTTTGCTAAAGGAGACCAGGCTGAGGTGATAGCAAAATACGTTGTGGGGAAAAGAGTGCTGTGGCATATTAGACATAAGATAATACAAGAATCTCTTTTCAGGTTATACCATGTGCAAAAGACATCAGCCAAGCACATATTAATGCACTTCTACTTTGTGTGTCCCTGTGCAGACTAAAAGACCTAGAGATGGCCAAGCTGGGGGATTCTGATGTTCATGTCAAGATGTTAGCAGCCCCTATCAATCCAGCAGACATCAACATGATCCAAGGTAACCCGGCTTCTGCAGCTCAACTGCCTTTTTGCTGCCAAGCAGCTTAATTTTCATTCCATCCATGAAACGCTCGCCTGTTCTCCCTGATGAGCACCGTGCTGTCAGGCACAGACCACACAAATGGGCCGCTAGACTGTCTGTGATGTGCCCAGCAGGACATCTGAAACGGTTCAGAGCCCTGTTCCTGGTGTTATCCTGGGACTAGCCCTTAGCACACCAAGGGGAGAAGCTTGTGATTCACCACAGGCTTGGTGCAAAGCCATCTGCTCCTCACGCTCTGGCTTCCTTGCAGGGACGTACGCCATCCTCTCCGAGCTGCCGGCAGTAGGGGGCAATGAAGGCGTTGGCCAAGTGGTGGAGATCGGCAGTCGTGTGACGTCCGTGAAACCTGGCGACTGGGTGATCCCAGCAGACACTGGACTTGGTGAGCCAAACTCCTGGGGACAGGTCCATGGTGCAAGAGTGGTAGCTTCATTGGCTGCGCGGATGAGTATGGCAACGTGGGCTGCCTGTTGGCTTATCTCATAGCTTTTGGCTAGTATCATCCACTGCAGACCTCGGCACGTGGCCAGCACAGGGCACAGCTCACCCCGTGTCTCGGCCAGGAAGACGCTTGCTGAGACCCGGGGCAGTAGTGACCTCCCCAGCACGCTGCAGCAGTGGCGTTTGGCAGGGACCTGACGCGAGTTTCTGGCACATGCCTGTGCTTTAACGGGTAGGAAATGCACTTTGGTGTGGTGATGGGCAGAGCTGTGGGGACAGTGCCAGCACTTAGACCTGCACGAACGTTTCGGCTAAGCTTGCTACTGGGGACCAGGGCTTGGTGGAGCAGAAGATGGTTTTCCCAAAATGAAGGGTGCTACAGGTATTGCAGAGGTCACGTCTGGAGCAGCTGGTCGCTCCTGTCATCCCTGGAGCTATCTAGACCCCGTATCATCCATGGTCACCAGCAAGGTCTTCCTGGGTGCTGCCCTCACCTGTAGCACCTCGTCCCAGGGGCTTTTCAGGGTGCTTGGCACCGCTGGCGGCTGTTACGGCAGAGCTGAGAGCAAACCCATACCCTGAGTAAAGCCCAAGGCTCCTGTTCCCGGCATCTCCCTGGCACTCCTGCATCCCTTTGCCTCCCTTGTGAGCCGTTGCTTTCAGGGTTGGCCCAAGAGATTTAGGGGTTTATCCGCCCTAGAGCTGTCCTGGAGCAAAATCATTCCTCTCCGAAGTGCTGTATTTGCTTAGCACAGCTATAATCACATGCACCTCCCAGGTACAGCAATTACATCTAATCGGATGTGACTTAAAAAGAAAAAAACTCCATTAGAGAATGTTCCAGGCGAGGAAAGCAGCAGTTGGAATCCATTTAGTGCCATATTAGCCTAATCATAAATATAATGGGCTGTATTGTCTCAGACGAGAAGCAGCTGGATAGCTGACGGAGCTGTACAAAGGCCTCTTAATATCTTACCTGTTTCTGTACAGTTTCAAGCATTATTCTTTCTGTCGCTTGTTTTTGAACGCTTTTTTTTAAGGGAGCTCGGTAGCTGATACCCAGCCACAGTGAGTCAGGCTGCCATTGCCCTTCGTCCGCAGGAACGGTAGGGCCCCAGGGAAACGCAGGGTGCAAAAGAGGTGACGCGGGCCGCGTGTGTCCCTGCGCCTTGCTGCCTCCCCGGTGCTCCCCGGCATCGGTACCGCAGGCGCGGGAGCTCGCGTGGGTCGTGCTCGCTCATCGACGTTGCTCGCCGTAACGCGAGAACCCGAAGCACTTCCAAGGTGAGCAGTGGCGGTGCCGTTGCTTGTGCTACACTTGAATTCAGAAATAATTTGGTTTTCGGTAGTGTAGCGCCATCGCGGGCCTTCTGAACCGTTATAAAACGTTATAGCAATCTGCTGTTCTCTGGAAACAACTGGGTTTTGTCACATCTGCTTATGGCTTCTTCACAGACACGGGATAAAGCATTTAACCTGCGCAAGGTTGTACTTATATCTCACTGCAGTTCTCTCCTTAAGAGTGCTTTGATGGGAAAGCATGGGAATTTATTTTTAAACAAATGTCTCCTGTGCTACTCGAAAATACCAATGGCCAGAAAAATTGCCAGTTCAGGTTTAGCATAAGAGCTTGTTCCTTGCCTATTTCTTTTCAAAAGGCTTTTTCACTTAATGGGGGAAGGAAAGCTATCTAGTTAAGATCCAAATGTGATGTTTTTAAACGTTAAAAAAGGTAAATGGATGATAGGGGGTTAAATCTGATATAGAGTCACTAAATCTAAGTAAATTGGCTTTGAATATATGGGCTCATCTGTAGGATATGGAGTATTTCTATTAGCTCTGCGCACTCTCTGCACTCAAGGAGCCCCAGTCCTATTATGCATCTAGGAAATGATTAGACTTTTCTAGGTATTAAATCTCTCTTGTTCCTGGGCAACCGGGGATTCGTCTCCTGTCTCCCGCAGGTGTCCTAACAAGGCAAAGGCAGTGTGCGCTGCGAGGTGTATGATAGTATTTTGCCTAGAAACCCTGTAAATGGCATCACAGTCGTTCAGTGCGTGTACGGACTGGGGGGAACCTCTCTTACCCTGGGACATTGGGCACGTTTCACACCAGCAGTGTCGGCGTGCGGGACGCGACGGCCCTTGGAGCAGCAAATCCCAGGAAGCAGAAGCAGAGCCGCTTTGCCAGCGGTGCAGAGCAGGGTGCAGATACCTGCTGTGGGAGCTCCCCTCAGCCCCGGGGTCGTTGCTTGCTGATACGCAAACCCAGCAGAGGCTGCCGAGCAACCCGCAGTCTCTCTGCTGTGCCGCGGAGAGCGGAGGCAGGACTTTGCAGATCTTGTGCTGTCGGCTGAGCGTACGCTAGATTTGCACAAGTGCCCTCAAAGCCTACGTGGAGACTGAGCTCCTAAGGTGTTTTTGCATCTTTCTGAACAAGTCCTGAAGAAATGCATGAAATTGCAATGAAACCTTACCTCCGGCCTGCAAATTGCTTTGGGCACCAGCTGTCGGTGGGTTTCCCCTCTTTTGGTGAAGTGTTTCCTGTGCCCTAGGGACGTGGCGGACGGAAGCAGTGTTCCCCGAAGGGACCCTGCTGCGAGTGCCCAGTGACATCCCCGTGCTCTGCGCCGCCACCCTGAGCGTCAACCCCTGCACGGCGTACAGGATGCTGGCCGACTTTGAGACCCTGAGGCCGGGTACGTGTGGGGCTGCAGGGACCCGAGGTTCTCATCAGCGTTACCCATCAGCTGTGACCCGTTTCGTGAAGACGGGGACACAAATCTGTGCCTTCCCCTCACTGCAGCCAGTCTTGGCAAATGTCCCGGCAGCGCCAGGAGGGGAGTCTGCACGGCTGGAGAGAAGAGGGATGGTTGCTTGCGGTTCCCTTGCCAAAATCCACTAGTCCTCACAGCCAGGGGCACCTGAAAGGCTGCCTTGCGTGCGGTACCGTGGAGGAAATGAGTTTTAGTGGGCCTATCGGTCACTTCTGCACCAAATCCTTAACCCAAGTAGTCTCGCCATCACAGCCCTGGCAGAGGTGGAGGCAGAGCAGTTGCCTTCTCCTTCCCGAGGGCAAAGCAACAGCACAGGCCTTGGCATGGGGCTCAGTGTCACACTAGCTGGGCTCTTAGCTTGCGGGCAGGAGGCCACCGGTCCCCCAGGAGTGCTCAAAGGCCGAGCTGAGCCGGTTTCTGTGCTGCTCCACAGGTGACTCTGTCATCCAGAACGCTGCCAACAGCGGCGTGGGCCAGGCCGTGATCCAGATCGCGAAAGCCTCCGGCATCAGGACCATCAACGTGGTCCGAGACAGGTGAGTGGTGGCGTGGATGGCTGGAGACCCCTCCTGGGAAGGTAGGAGGTTTCCAAGGAGCAGGAAAGGAGGGCGAGCAGGGAAGGCTGAAACGCTGACAACGCTGGTGAGATGGGAGGAGACCCCCGTCAGCAGCAGCTGGGGTTAGCGCAGGCTCCCATGGCGGAGAGGGGCTGGAAGGTGCCTCCCAGCCTCTGCTCTACCACATCTCCTGCATGTCTGCGTGTGAGCAAGAGGGAGATGAAGGTGATGCTCTTTCCTTTCTGACTAATCAGAAATGTCTCTTCCCCCCCCACGCCCACAGACCTGATCTCCCAAAGCTGGTGGAAAGATTGATGTCCCTTGGTGCAGACCATGTCATCACAGAAGAAATGCTGAGAAAGCCAGACATGAAGGATTTATTTAAGGTACTCACTGCTGATCCCTCCAGAGAGAAAATCCAAGGCTGTCCCAGTTGCTCAGTACTTTGAGCAAAGGTGCAAGGATGCTGGAAAGGACAAATATGAAATAAGCTCTTCCTAATCGCCAGGCAGGCAACCATCATGTTCAGGCTGTAAGTCATTAAGGACAGATATGAGGTTAACAAATAGCATTTTTGCCCTCTTTCCTAAGTCACTAGTTGCCATACATATTTATCCTCTCATGTAACTGAACGTGCCCATCTGCTAATAGAAATATGTACTAAATCTGCCAAACTCCTGGTCTCAAAGTGCCTTTCACAAAGTGTTGCCTTACCAGCAATAAACCGGGACGTGTTCATCTCTCCTGCTCTGATTAACTTGTTACTTCTCATCCCTTCTCCAAGCTGAGCAGTGTGTTTGGCATCTACCTGGCTGTACCAGGAACAGCTTTCACAGTTAAATCAGAAAAAGGTCTCTGAGGGGACCAGACCAGAGGTAGAGGCACTGCAGTGAAGTGCTGCACCTTGATATACTGCAGGGAATGTCCTGTCCTGGCAGAGGTGCAATAAATGTCTCTGGGGAGTATCCCCTGGGCATGAGTTTTCCTGCTTCCCTTGGAGTGGTTTCACTTGAGCTTTCTCTGGATTGGGATTTAGCCCTGCAGGGCTGGGAGCTTTCGCTGCTGCTATGAGGCTCAGCCTCCCAATTTTGGCTCTGGTTATGATTCTTGGCTGCCTTCAAGTAAACACTGGGGTTAAGGCAGTTGCTCCTTCAGGAGCTGTGGTCTCACGCTCAAGAGAAGGGAACCCTGAAATTTGGGAACCTTCTTAATCAACTTTTCCTGCTCACTGCTCTCCCCTGCTGCTGCAACCGTGACTCTTTCAGAGCATCCCAAAGCCCCGGCTCGCCCTGAACTGCGTCGGAGGGAAAAGCACTACTGAGATGCTGCGGCACCTGCAGTAAGTTTGGCTCTTTGCCCCGGATGTTGGGTGGTGGCTTCTGGGCAGGCTTCAGCAGCACCAGGGTGGGCCTGCTCCAGAGTGCTCGGAGTGCAGGGTGGGGACTGGAGATGTTAGTAGCTGATGGCAGTCCTCATTGAGATTTCGGTGCGGGAAGAGGAGTGCAAGGGGAGAAGTCTTGGGGAAATAATAATAACTGAAAGTTAACCTATCATCGCCTCCTCTCCCACTTGTCTCAAACCTTTCTGTCAGTGGCATGAGGCGAAAGACATCTGAAATCTGAGTTACGAATGTCCATCGGGTGCTGGCCAGGTTCAAGGGTTGGCTGGTGTATCTAACAGCAAATTCAGCTACTGCTGTGTGCAGGGAAGAGGGGAAGTCTAGAAAGCGGAGTTGAACAGATATTTAGAGGAGCCTTTGGTGCGAGGATAGCCCCATCCGCACAGCGATGGGTTTGGGTATGACAGAGGAGGAGGCAAAAAGTGAGGCCAACGATCCGTGTTGGAGATCGCAGATACCTAAATACCTCGTTCCTCTTCCAGGCACAAAGGGACCATGGTCACCTATGGAGGAATGGCGAAGCAGCCTGTGATGGTCCCTGTGGTGAGTATTTGAGATGCTCTTGACTTGTCGTGGTATTGAATAGCCTTCTTGCTTACAGGCATGTCTGCTTCGCCATGCTGCCGATACACAGGTGCTCTGAGGCATTCGCACCTCTAACTGCTTCTTGCCCATCATTCTTGGTACCACTGTCCTTGCTGGAAGGACCACATGAGCTTGCTCTCGCCTTCCTTCAGTAGGAGGGTTCATCTGCCACCATCTGTTGTTGGAGGCTCTGAATTTAATGTTCAAAACTCTTTTTAAACTGACTGGGTCTGTTGCAAGATGAGCTGGTTTGCACCTCTGGTGCAGGTCTCTTGCATTATGTATGAAGGAACTGGCTGGTGTGAACTCCCAGCCTGGGAAGTCGCCCAGCAGACACTGAGTAACAAACGCTCCCTGAAATGAGCTGATCTCGCATATCAGAGTCGCATCCCTGTATCCCTCTGTGCTCCGACTGCAATCTAGTTTTATTCTGGCAAGGTAAAGCCCCTCTAACCCTGGACCTGTAGCAGCTCATAGCTGTGGTGCCATGGAGACCCTGGGATAATGTGAGGTGTTTCATTAACGTGAACTTGCTAAAGTGAATTTGTCACAAATTAAAGCTCTAACGGAAGAGTGAAGATCCTCATCGCCACCTTTCAACCGCTGTCAAACTTGCAAGAGCTTAGAAATATACTGGGGGGAGCTCTCGCCTTCTGGCGTATGTGGAACAGACACGCATATTGGTGAGTGTCTCCCTGTTTCCGCAGAGTGCGTTCATCTTCAAGGATGTGAAGCTCCGTGGATTCTGGATGACCCAGTGGAAGAAAGACCAAATGCACAGTAAGTTGGCGGTTGCCATCCCAGGTGCAGATGCCGAAGGATGTCATTGAAGTGGCAGGTCGACATGTTCATGGCTGACCTGTCACTCCTGTGCTGGGATACCCTCCCTGTTTGCTCTTATTCGGTCATGAGTTTGATCGTTCTCAGACCTGCTGAAGTGCAGCCAGGGAGGCTGAAGCACTAGTTTGGAAAGAAGATGCCTCCTGGCGTTCCTCAGTACCTCCTATTGCTCCCCCTTGTCTTGTCACACTTGTCTGGGGTAATACAGCTGCAAAGTCCTGACAAGCCTTGCTGGAGCAAATGGAGCTGAGTGTAACTGTCTGACTTCACTGGGGGTCGGTGGGAAGAGCCACCTGTGCATCAGGAGTGAATTTGGCCTGTGGTCCCATTTGCCACCAGCTGATGGATTTGGGCAGCTTTACACTTGGTCCAAAAGCCATTTCTACAACTCCTTGGGAATCCAGTTAAGGCACATGTTGGATTGACTTGTCTTTCCCCAGGCCCTGTCCCAGAAGGGGTCTAAAGCACTGGCCCAGCTTTGCTGGGGGAAGGAAACCAGAACATCTGGTTCACTGAGCCAGAGCTGTGGAAGCTGCCACCTCATCCCCCCTGTGTCCCCAAGAGCGGCTGGTGATAGGTGCAGGAGCAGAGGCATGTGCTGGGCAGCGACCTACGGCTGTGCACCCCCCCAAGGCAGTTTGGGGAGCTGGGGGAGCTCCGCTTCGGGGTGGTGCAGGTTGTACAAGGACTGGGGATGTTCTGGCCAAAGGTGACCCCTGTACCCAATCCCTGCCCTGTGCTGCCCCATGGGTGCCAGCTGCTGCTGAGCAAGCAGGGCTCGGGCTAACACAGCTGTAGCCCTAACCCAAATGCCTGAGCTGGGAGCACAGTGCATGTGCTTTGCACCCCAGGGCTGTGTTGGCTGCAGAGCCTGTGCCGCCAGGACCCGCTCCGGTGTTGGTTTTGGCAGGTATTTTGCCTGAGAACTACTTGGTGGCTCTGGCTTATTGCAGGTGTGGGATATGGCAGGATAAGAGTTATCTCCTTCCCCTGCAGACAAGGACAACCTGGAGAGCATGATACAGAGCTTGTGTGAGCTCATTCGGAAAGGGCAGCTCACCACACCAGCATGCACGGAGATCCCACTCGAGGACTACAGGACAGCCCTGGAGGCCTCCATGAAGCCGTTCACATCATCGAAACAGATACTCATCCTGTGACTCCCCGAGGGAGGGCTCAGGTGTTGCAGCAGGCTGAACTGCAGGTGCTTCCCATCACGCTGGACCCTGTAACTGGATCCCAGCTGGCTTACAAACATTTCCTTTGCCATGTTGTCTGCAGGGGAAGGTACTAAGGGGAGAAAAACAACTCTAGATCCATCAATTTTTTTGCCCACTTGAAGTTTCAAAAGCCTCTGCAACTTTGCATAAATGGCACTGTGAGAGCAGGTTATAATTGCTTTTGGAGAGAGATTCCAACCTTGCTTTAGCTTAGATGAGTTTCATTGCAATGGAAAGCTCAGGGTGTTAAGGCAGCTGTTGCAGGAATTGCAGGCAGAGGTGACTGCAGGTGATCAGGCAGTTGAGGATGTGAGGAGCAAAAGTTCCCATTTGGGTGCATTTGTGTAACAACAGGAAGGGCAGTAAGTTCGTTCTGCCATCCACGGTAGCTGCTCGCTGCCTTCTGCCTCATTTACTAGCTCTAACTTTCATTCTGCTGTTTATATTGCCGTCACCTCCAGGTGATTCAGGCTCTTCTCAGGTCGCTTTGCAGGGAAGTGCACAGCTGGTTGATGCTTACCTCTGAGCCAGCACTGGCACAGCCAAACCTTCCACTGCTAAAGGCACTCTTGCTCTTGGCCACCCCACAACACGCAGAGGCCCAGCAGCGTCCAGCAGAGTGGGATCGGAGACTGCTGTCCCTGCTCTGATATCGGGCGGTCTCTTGCTAAGTGCTGCTCAGCTGTGCTGCAGCCTCAGCCAGTGCCAGGCCACGTTGAGGGCATTGCCATCACAGGTCCATGAGCTCAGGATGACCCCAATCCCTCCCACCCTTGGGAGGAAAACAGGGCAACGCAGCTGCACTTGCAGCCTAGCACCAGCTGCTGTTTGGGACCTACTATAGGGACAGGCACTGCCAGGACAGGCAGGATTGCATTGGGGGTGCAGTGATACATGCCTGCATGCCATTGCTTTGATCATCATCGCAAATTAAATCCAATGAGACAGAGGGTCGGATATGAACATGAACTTTAAAGCACTGGCTGAAGATTACAGGGTCGCCTGGTGCCAGCAGGCTGCTCTGCCAACGCAGCCACTGGGCTCACCTGCATGAATGGCGTGCTCCTCCGGGTGCATTTCCTCAGCCTCCTCTGCCAGGAGCAGTGGCTCCATCATTGCCAGCCTCAGGGTGAAATGCTAAGCCAGACAGATGCTAGGGGGACATGCACTCCTTTGAAAGCATTGCAATGCCTTCCCTTGGGAGACAGGCTGGGGTGCGAGGAGGTGATCGGCTCTCTTGGCCTGTGGGATTAGTCGCTCTCCAAGGTGGATGGTCCAGAGTGGGGACAAATGGAGCAGGTGAGGAGGTGTCCAGTGCAAATCATGAGGACAAGCCCACTCCCTGCAAGAGAGGAGGGTCTGTGTGAGGCCTCCCAGCATCTGGGACCTCCGTGGCATTACAGACAGACCACCCTGGGCAGGCTCAGGTGTTGAGGGCTTTGCCCAGAGGAAAAGGAGGCTGGAGAAATGGCATAAAAACAAGCAGAAATGAAGACTTACCAAGCGCCAGCCACCACTGCCACACCAGCGGGAACTGTCCCATCACTGCAAGACACAGCAGACATCTCAGGGAGTGCCTCAGTTCTCGTGTCCCTGTGTTTGAGCTGGGGATGGGACTCCCCTCCTGGTTTGCAGCTGGATTTTCCCAGGGCCTTGGTCCTGGGTGCTGGGTCCAAGCCCTCAGTGGGAGCCCAGCTGCCTGCGTTGCCCTTGTTTGGGGTCTCAAATGCATGTAGGAAGGGGGTGGCTTTTTGCAGTACCTTGACTTGAACTAATTTTTGCTGCTGTTACTAAACCACTGGCACTATGATTGTGAGACTTGCAGAGAAATCTCTTTGAAATCAGTGTTTTAACTTTTTTTTTTTTAAGATGCTGTCAATAAATTTTTCTGTGTTCAGTTCTGTGCGACTTGCCTAGGCCGATTGTAAGTGCTGCTTCCCCAGCAAGCATAGTTAAGAAGGAAGACCTCGTACTGATCTCAAATTCACCTGCAGCTGTGCAAAGACTCCCATTGGTGTCTTGAGGCTTTGAAAGAGGACTAGGGTAGCTAACCTGCAGAATGTGCTAAAGCAGGATATTTGCATGGCTGTCCTGCTACAGGAAACTCTGACTGTAGCTCATCATCTGCTCAGAGCTGTTCTGGCATTCATTCATCCATCATCCCTTAATTTACTTCTGTTACTCCTCCCCATCTGTCTCTTGGCCTGGGAGCAGGCCAGGCCCCCAGGTACTGGGGCCCGGCCAGCACCGCTGCTGATTGACCCAGACATGGGGATTGCGCTGGCAAGAAGCGCCTTGTGGCAAAGCTAATGAGCGAGGCCACGGAGCTGCATAGCCCTTTCCCCTTGCTAAATTATAGGTATTTATACTGCAGCAAAACCATGCTGTTTGCACACAAGCAATTAAAAGCAGCAGGAGGAGGCAGGCTGTGGTCCTTGGGCAACCACCTCAAGGCTGCTGCGGGGGTGACAGCACTGTCTCTGCTCCGTTAGCTCCCGCAGGGCACAAAAAGTGGTGTCTCTCTCCCCAAACTTTTGCCCCGGCCACGCGTGCTCACCGAGGCGGGTCAGCAGCACGTGGAACAGCGTGACGGTCACGGCGTAGTCCCAGACCCAGCGCTTCAGCAGCGCGGCGAAGAGGATGCTGCTGGTGAAGTACGTCAGCTCTGTGGCCAGCAGCCCCCCTGGGAGGTGAGAGGAGCCCTCTGAGCCTGCTGCGAGGCTGGGTTTTTTCCCCATCTAAATGCTACGGAGGTGCTTTGCAGCTGCAGTGCCTTCCCGTCCCCGTGCATTGCGTTCCCTCCCGCGGTGAAGCGCGCCTCTCGCTGCCAGGGAGCCTCGTGGCTTCGTGTCCCACCTGTCCCCCTTCTCATCGACTCACCCAGATATTTGGGGTTGGAAAGGGATGGTTCAGTCCTGAACTCGAAGGGGATGAGGCCATCAAAAGTGTCGAGCCTGCAGCGAGAGCGGGGAGGGAAAGGAACGCCGGTAGGGAAGCGGCCAAGGACGAGCCCTTGGACCAGGCGGTTATGGGACAGCCAGACCCCTCATCCCCGTGTCTCTCCACCAGGCCAGGTGCAAATGCCACCACCCATCAGTGCCACCCAAGCAGCCTCGGCACTACAGACGCCCTGTACCAGCCTGGCTCGTCCAACAGCTCTTGGCAAGTGTAGGCTCTGGCTGCTCTCCCCTGTTAAAACCAAATATTGTTTCTTTTACAGTGGAGCGAGGCATTAGAGACTTCTAAAACATGGTTTTCCCCCCAAGGCATGACCCTTTCAAATACCCCTGCAGCCCCCCATGCCACCAAATACTCCTTTTCAGCTCCTTTTCCTAAAGAAGAGCTTTATGCACCCCTCAGATTTAAAAACCCTGTAGATTTAAAAATCCCATAGATCTAAAACAACTTGTTTTAAACCTGCCATCGCACAGGCATCTTGGGCCACCGGGTGCTAGCTGGGGGCTCGCTGGCCCCCTCCGTCTCACCTGAGAGCCCCATGGCAGATGCTCGCCGTGACATAGTAGACGGTGTAGAAGATGCCCAGGCACAGCAGCAGCTGCAGGAGGAGGATCTGCAACGGGAGCAGGGTTCCCTTTTTAAAAACAGGCCCATAGAAGAGTTAAAGTGTGACGGTTTAAGGATCTAATATGTTCTGGTGTGTTTAAGCCTTAGCAAAGGGTAATTTGCACTTCAGTGTAAACATTGTTGGAGCAGCCCATGATTGCTGCCCAAGTTTTGGAGAAAGTCGAGTGCTTCAATTGGAGAAACTTGCTGGCTAAGCAGTCGGTATCAGGGTTGGCTTAAAGGGCTAAAGCAGCTTTGGGGAGCCAGCAGGAGTCTCCTTTGCAGGAGACTGCAGGGAGATTATCTTCTTCATTTGTTCACTTCAATGTCTAAATCAGTCAAAGTTGGAAAATAAAAGGCAAAAGTTTGCAAGCGGCAGCAGCGGTGAGTAATAGGACCAAACTGTGGAAGGGGGCAGATCAGCCGTTTCCACCACCGCAAAGGGCATCGTGACCAAGAAGAGGTTGTTTGCAACCCAAAAATACGTTTTTAATCCCTCCGGCATGGCGCGTGGGGCCACAAGCGTGGCTTGAGGACGCCTGCGGCCCGTGGGAGCCGTGGCCCCGCCGGTTTGCAGCTGGGGACGCCGGTCGTCCCCGCTCCCTCGCCCGGCCGAGACGTGCCGTTTCTCCGGCCCCGTCCCCAGCGTCC